GAGGATTTGGCCCTTCAACCCCGAGAGGTATCACCCTCGGGAGCATATCCTTCCTCGGGTCGTTTTCTACCATTTTACTGATTTTGATGATCGAGCACCTGTGGATCTGCTATTGCGGGAGCCGGAGTCCCACCTCTCTCATCAGGCACGGGAGGTATGCACCTCACTTTTACGTTTTCCGCAATGTATTATGCATTTTCTATGCATTTCATGCTTTCACTATGTTTATCTGCTCATTCTAGCACACAGCTTATTCTGAACACTTAGTCTATAACACAGTATTCCGTTTGCATCTTGAACACACAGCCCAATCACTTGAATTTCTAAACGCGCAGCCCGTATATTGATTGTGAACATACAGCACACACTTGTTGAGAGTTGAACACACAGCCCAAACTTTGAATTTCTGAAGTCTGAACACGTAGCCCAAACACTTGATGTTGAACACACAGCTCGAACTTTGAGATGAACACACAGCCCAATTTTGAAATCTAAACACACGGCTCAAACATTTGACGTTGAACACGCAGCTCGAACTTTGAGATGAACATACAGCCTAATTTTGAAATCTGAACACACAGCTCAAACACTTGACGTTGAACACACAGCTCGAACTTTGAGATGAACACACAGCCCACTGATTTTGAAATCTGAACACACAGCTCAAATACTTGACGTTGAACACACGGCTTGAACCTTGAAATCTGAACACACAGCCTATTCTTTTAGATGAACACACAGCCCACACTTGTTGAAAGTCGAACACGTAGCCCAAACTCTGAGTTTCTGAGCACGCAGCCCAAATTTAAGGTGAACACACAACACACACTTGTATTTGTACACAGCTCACAGCATTGTATCTGATTTGGTTTGCACACAGCTCATGCATTTCATTTGCACGTAGCTTATTCCTTTCATTCTGAAACTGAATACATGTGTTCATTACGAATGCAGGTGTCTTCCCGTGTCACACGAGGATATGGCTCCATCGTTGCAAGGGAGTGGAACGCAGAGCTCCTGGAGGCCGTCCGTGATTGGGTTGACTAGGCAGGGTTCGGACCCTTTTGCACAGGGATATCTCGCTATCCTGCTAGCAGGACATTGATGGGGGCTCTTGTAGAGAGATGGTGGGACACCACCAACTCCTTCCATTTCTCGGCCACCGGGGACATGACTAGTTGACCACAACTCCGGTTTCTTTCCCAATCCAAGAACAAGAGGAAGAACTGTTTTTGTAACTTGGCAGATTTCAGAACACGCCGTCAGTGCCAGTCTAATCCGAGAAGGAAAGGGGAGCAAAAGCTGTATTACGATGTAAGCAAAACCTTGGCCAGCGCAGAAATAAGGTATGCTACCAACTGAGAATTAATGCTAGCCTTAGTAACGGCTTCAAAGAAGTTGAACCATTTTACTTTCAGGCGCACAAGATTGTGGGTCCTAACCGAGCCATAAGCCACTGAAGTCCTTGTTGCCAACAAAGGAGACTTAACAGGAAGAATAGCAAGATGGGCAGTAGCCCTGGGTCAGTATGACCTGGAGTTCAGGCCGAGAACAGCAATTAAAGGCCAATTTTTGGCCGAGCTTCGTGGCAGAATTCACGGCTTGAAACCATCGAACATCGGGCTTCCGTTGAAGCCAGGATGAGCATTGTCCCAGCAAGCAAGGAGAATCCCAGCCAAAGGCAAAAGAGCAAGGAAGGAAAAACTCAGACCCTACAGCATCTACATCGGCGACTCATTCAGACTGTTTGTCGATGGAAGTTGAACCGACAAGGAGCAGGGGCAGGAGTATTGCTGATATCTCCAGATAGAGAAATAATAGAACAATCCATCCGTTTAGGGTTCAAGGCCTTAAACAAATGAGCGGAATACGAAGCATTAATTGCAGGGCTAAAACTGGCAGCAGCAGCAGAAGCAGGTGAGGTAAATAGTTTTTTGTGATTCACAACTTATTGTTAACCCAGTCACAGGAGAATTTGCAGCCAGGGACGAAAAGGATGTCGGCATATGCAAAAGAGGTCATCAGATTGGCAACCCTATTTCAGAACTGCCGACTATCCAAGTTAGCTGAGATGACAACACCTACCGCCGATGCATTGGCTAACCTGGCAAAGTTCAATATAGACTGGAAAAAACAAGGACAATTATGATCGACTATAATGTCGGGCCCGAGCATAGAACCACGAGCAACAGAGCAAGAACGCAATGTGCGTGGACTTAGGACCAAGCTGGATGGATGCAATCGTTGCATTCCTAAAAGAGGGAAAGCTGCCAGAAGACCATAAAGAAGCACATAAAACAGATTGAAGTCGGCCAGTTCAGTCTAACAGCAGAGGGCCATTCTACAGAAGGTCCTTCACTGGACCCCTTTTAAGGTACGTACACCCTTTGCAGGTTGAGATTTTCTATAACGAGATTCATGAAAGGGATTTGTGGAAGCCACGCGGGGGCAGATCATTACCTCACAGGGCCATTACCAGGGGTATTGGTGGCCCTACATGCAAAAGGATGCTGAAGCCTACGTGAAGAAGTGTGAACAATGCCAAAGGTTTGCACCTTTGATACATCAGCCAGCTGCTGACCTGAACCCAATATCCAGCCCTTGGCCATTTGCTCAATGGGGCATGGATCTTGTTGGCGCAACTTCCCCAGCAACTGGGGAGAGAAATACTTGTTGGTAGCAACAGATTACTTTACGAAGTGGATAGAGGCAGAAACCTCGCCAAAATCGAGATGTGGACGTCAAGAACTTATATGAGAGAAACATCATCACCAGATTTGGGATTCCAAGAGCAATAGTTGCCGACAACGGACACAGTTTACAGCAAACTCATCAAGAACTTTTGTGGCGAAATTCAAGATCAAAGATTACTTTTCAACACCAAGTTTTCCCAAAGCAATGGGTAAAGTAGAAGCGTCCAACAAAGTAATTTGGATGGAATAAGAATAGGCTGCAGGCAGCAAAGGAAAGTGGGTAGACGAGTTGCCCAACGTCACTTTGGGCATATCGGATAACGCCGAGAAGATCAATAGGGGAATCCTTCTTTGCCATGGCTTATGGCATAGAAGCATTTATCCCATTGGAGACGGAGGCATCCCAGGGATCAGAACCCAGGGAGTAGAGAATGGCACCAATGACATACTCTTTTAGCCCGAGATCTGGATCTTTTGGAAGAACGAAGAGAGAAAGCTGCAATTCAGCTCGCAGTATACCACAACACTTGCTAGAGCTTATAACAAGAAGGTCAATCCAAGAGATTTTTCAAGCCGGCGACTACGTCTTGAGAAAAGTCTGTCGGCAACAAGAAGATCCCAAAGAGGGAAAGCTTGGCCCAAATTGGAAAGGACCCTACAGAATTACTTCGGTATTAGGCAATAGAGCTTATCGGCTTGAAGATAACGAGGGCAAAGCACTGCCAAGAACCTTGGAACACTTGTAATTTGAAATCTTCTATCATTAGATGTGCAGTATTTTTTTGGGCCGATTGTCATCAATAAAATCTTTTCCTACATATTGGGTTTTTTTTAGAGACATGAATAATGAGAACCCAAGTAGAAACTCAGGTTCACAATTGGGGGCAGAGAGAAGACAGAGACACTTAATTCACTTATTTGAAATTTTGTAGCAATTTACAAATTGGGGGTTAAGCTGATTCCTTATCTTCACTTGTTGAAATTTGTAGCAATTTACAAGTCGAAGTTAAGCCGAGATTATTCCTTATCTTCACTGTTTGAAATTTGTAGCAATTTACAAGTTGGAGTTAAGCTGATTCCTTATCTTCACTTGTTGAAATTTGTAGCAATTTACAAGTCGAAGTTAAGCCGAAGTTCGAAGTTAAGCCGAGATTATCCTTATCTTCACTTGTTGAAAATTTGTAGCAATTTACAAGTTGGAGTTAAGCTGATTCCTTATCTTCACCTATTGAAATTTGTAGCAATTTACAAGTCGAAGTTAAGCCGAGATTACCCTTAATTCACTTGTTGAAAATTTGTAGCAATTTACAAGTTGGAGTTAAGCTGATTCTTATCTTCACTTGTTGAAATTTGTGGCAATTTAACAAGTTGAAGTTAAGCAGAGATTATTCCTTATCTTCACTTGTTGAAATTGTAGCAATTTACAAGTTGGAGTTAAGCTAATTCCTTATCTTTCACTTTGTTGAAATTTGTTAGCAATTTTACAAGTTGAAGTTAAGCCGAGATTACTGTTTCCTTCAACTTGTTGAAATTTGTAGCAATTTAAAGTCGAAGTGAAGCCGAGGTTATAGTTTTGCACACTTATAGCAATCTACAGGTTGGTCCAACCAAAGAAAGATGCTTAACACTTGTTTGAAATTTGTAGCAATTTACAAAGATATGTTAAGCCGACATGTTGCATCTGTTGAAATTTGCAGTAATTTGCAGGTTGAGGTAAAAGCTAAGTATATTGTTTAAACACTTGTTGAAATTTGTAGCAATTTACAAGTAGATCATTGCTTAAACACTTGTTATAACTTGAGAAAAGTTTACAGTATATGATAACACTTGTTGAAATTGGTAGCAATTTAACAGTAGGTTAGACTAAGATCACTGTCTAAACACTTGATTGAAACATTGAGAAACGTTCGCAAAGTTGACATCTGAATAGTATATGTCTTAACTTGTTGAAATTTATGAAAAGTTTACAGGTCAGTATCTTGCTGAAGTAAAGTTTGTAGTTATTATACCCGAGATATGTAACCCGAGAAGATTGCACAAGGGTGGCAAAAT